AAAAAAAAAAAAAACAGGCAGTGATAAAGTTCAAGGTTTTTTTAAAAAAAAGGTTAGAGACAGGAACCGGTGCCCAACACTTTGAAATCTAACAGCTCAAATATAGCACAGAACAGGTTTGGTTTATTTTTTTTAAGAAGAAAAGAAACAAAGAAGAAAGAAACCAATAGATTCTTTCCTTGTATCTTGGGGAAAAGGGTTGTGTCCAGGCAACCTTCCAGAAATCCCACCCACCACCAGCAGCTCAACAAATTAGCTAGTCAGGGATAAAGCACAGAATGTGCTCTCTACTCAAATCTCAGCCATCCCACCATACCCCCAAATGAGGAGCCTGAAAAGAGAATTTACTTGCAGATAATAAAACAAAAAAAAAATGAATTCACTCATTATTCATTGTTTCTGCAAACATTTATTCAGGTTTTACTCTGGGCCAGACACTGGGGAAAGAGCAATAAACAAAATATTCCCATGAAGCATATGCACTCTTAGAAGAAGGCATAATCAACTGAAAAATATGTGTGTCCGAAGGCCATAGATGGAAGTGGAAAATAAACTAAGGAGTTAGGGAAAGGGGATTTATTCTAATAGAGATCCTGAAGCCCTGCTCGATGAGAGAACATTTGAGCACATATGTGAAATGAGAAAGCTAGCTGTCATGATGTACAAAGGAAAGGCAAGAGGTCAACACATAGAGTTCAGGCAAAGGCATGGAGGTATCTTCAAGCTGGACACTGTGACAGACAAGCAAGAGTTTTGAGAGAAGTGACTCAGTGGCATAGACTGGGTAGGATCCCAATGAAGCAGATTCTGGGACTCAAATTATTATGCAGGAAGTTTACAGAAGGAGTGTTCTTAGGACTGATACTTAGAAAAGGAAAGGGGACCTGAGCATGGTGCTGAGCATGGTGGCATAGTACTATGATCCCAGAGCTCAGAAGAAGTGGAAGGAGGAACAGGAATTCAAGGCTGTCTTGGCTACATAGGAGGTGTGAGGTCAGTCTGGGCTATGCTAAACCCTGGCAAAAAAAAAGAGAGAGAGAAAGAACAAGGTTTAATAAATGGAGAAGTTGGACTGTGACATAGTCATCCCAAAAAACTAAGTTCTGAAGTTCAGGGGGTTCTTCAGCACTGCACTGTCCTGTACCAAGAAGAATGCCAGCTTCTGTACTTGTACATCTACCAGTAGTGAGGTGCAAGCTGTCCCAGGAAGGAGGCATGGCCTGAAGAGAAGTAACATTCTCCATTGATGGGCCATTTGCACAGGGTCGACAACTCCAGGAAACAAGTCTTTTGGTTTTGAAGGTAAGTTTGGGTAATATCTCTGTATCTATTGTACCATGAAGAAAGAATGGTCAGTCTTCTTTGTTCATGGGTTTTTCATGCATGTATTCAATCCACTACAATTTAAAATATCGGGGTAGGGTTGATGTTTCTCTACTGAATATGAACAGACTTCCCCCCCGTTTTTTCCTAAGCAATACAACAATTTATACAATATTTACTTACCATAGGTGTTTTATTAATGTAATTGTGACTTAAAGTGTACAGGAAGATATATCTAGGTTCTATACATATGCTATGTCTTTTATATAGGAAACATGATTATTACAGATTTTGGTATTCATGAAAAGTTTTGGAACTAAGATATATACCCTGTGGATACCTGTAGACAATTGTATCTTCGAAGGATTGTCTCTGCTGTTGATTTCAGAAGAGTTTGCTGAGGTAAAGAGTATAGTTAGAAGGTTAAAAATGACATCATTTGTACAGAACTTAAAGGAAACAAAACTTGCAAAAGAGAAAGAAAATACACTTTCAATAAGAGAAGTGAAGTTGGCACAGATTGCCAAGGTGTTTTGGAGAACTCCTGCCTGTAGCATAAAAAGATGGAAAGGGAAACCACAGAGCAGAACTGTCTAGACAAAGAGGCTACAAGAGCAAGACTCCACCATTCAGATCTGGCAACAACATAAAAAACAAGGAAGCCTTTTGATGAAGATGAATCATGTTCAAACAAACTCCTTAGCATTGTTGGAGGCAAGAAAAATTGAGAGAACCAGAGGGTCTTTGACAGTTTTCCAGAGAGGACAGACAGTAGATCACAGTGGTATTCAGCAAAGGTGAAGAGCATCAGGGAACTGCTAAAAGAGCATGGAGCAACCCGATGTGGAAGGCGATGGTTTGTGTCTTGGGATGTGTCACAACCAGTTGGGGAGATGATAAAAACAGACACAGAAATACAGGAAGGCCCTGGATCATGTGTTCAGTGAGTTTCCCTAGTGAGACAGACAGCAATCAGAGCCAGAGAACTACAGTCTTTTAAGGCAGATTCACAGGGTGCAGCCTTCAGATGGTCTCCGATGGTAAAGACCAATGGAAGGACTTCATTTTGACACTCAAAATCTGTGTGTAGAAATTTCAGTTATTACAGGCACAGTTTCAACACTCTCTCTGAAAACAGATTCCTTGTTGAGAAGAACCAGTGTCCCTAAACTGAGTCACTTCATCAGAATACTCATTAATGGTTTCAATCACTTTGTTGAAAACAAGAATATATAGTAAAAGAGTGTGAAAATCTTGGTACATACAACAAAAGATAGAGTAGAAAAAAGAAGAGAATGAAGATGTGGCATCATTTGAGTACAGAAAGAAGACCCTATTTAGGTGGGGATATCAAATTCTCAAAGAAAGACATTTGAACAGATACAAAATATGAAAGAAAAGCCAACAAAAGCAGCTGTGGGTTAAGGGATCACAGTGCCAAGCCAAGCTGAAGCTGTCACATGTCCATGGAAATTATTTAAAGACCCTTGAGTATATCGCAAGAAACCTTACTTTGAGTAAGATTGATTTCAGAGTGATTTCAACAAAACCCTTTTCATACATTCTTTACCTAGTCTTTATCACACATCCCTAAAGGTCACATAATGTTTAGCTCCAAACTTTGAATTCTATACCAACTCCAGTCTCATGATGAAGCCATGTCTACAACTTTCATGGTGTACTGCATAATAAAAGTGAGGAAAGAATATGCAAAGTAGAAATAAGGTTTAATTGTGCCCCTCAAAAGTTCATATATTAGCAAATTCCAACACAATGCCCTAATCCACATATTGATTGTATTTGGAGGTTAGGGATAGATGAGCTATAGAAAGTGAGAACCCTGTGTTCATACCCCTAGGTCTATAAAAAGAGAAAAGAGACTTGAGATGGAAAATTTCTCTATCTTAAAACGTGATGCCCTCCAACATGTTATGATGCTAAGAATGCTGTCACCATGCTCCTGCTTCTCCAAAATGGAACCACACCAATATCTATCATTATTAGATACCTATCCTAAGATACATTGTTATAGCCATAGAAAATAAACAAATTAGAAACTGAAAGTTGTAAGATGATTAAAATATTTTTTAATAGTAACACTTATAGTCTACTGGCATAACAAACTTCACTTGTGAAATTAGAGCAATATACAACTCTACTGTATAAAAATGTAAAGGCAAAAATGACACCAACAAGTGTTTCTCTAAAGCTTGTAAGGAAAAATAGGATAAATAACACAGCCTTATGACCAACAAAAAGAAAT